TGCTGTTAAATATACAAAATATTAATTTTTTAATTTTATATCTATGGCATAGATCTAGTTCCTGCATGTTTTGCTGTAGCTAGATTATTTCAATAACAACACATGTAGACTATCAGAAAATTTTGTATCAAAACAAGTGAAATGCAGTAGCATCATGTGATGTTTAGGAATTAAAAAAACTCATGGACTTAAGCAGTTAGTCTCATCTCAGTATAATGAGATCTAATAGAAAGATCACTGACTTTTGATGTTCCAAATTATGGAGTTGGTTTTGAAATAATCATAAGTTTTAATAGTAAGCAATATTTATTGTAAATTAGTAACATTTTAAACATTGCCATGCTTGATGATAGTTCTGTCTAATTCAGTCTAACTACCACACAGTTTCATAGAGTACAGTATTATTGACTGCAGTACTAGTCTCATATGAAGGATTAACTTCAGTTTGAACAATAGATCTATTGCTATGTATCTGTACAACTATAGAAAGTGTATTCATTATAATTATTACACTATTCAGTGCTACACACCTTCACCATATGCTGGATTATTTGTAGTAATCAGATCTTCAGCTACTAATTGTAATGAATTAAATCAATTATTATTTTTAATGTATTTCATACCTTCATTTTTCTTCCTTTTTCTAATCAAAAAACCAACTACAATCAATATTGATACTATTACTAGTATTAAGAGGATAACAAAGCCCACCACTGAAGATACAGTATATAACAATTGTATCATTGGTGTACTGTCTGGAGTAGCTGTCATCACTGGAGTATGCTCTGTGGAATGATAACAGTATATCATTAACTTATAGTACCTCATTATAACATGCACTTTATATACCTAGGTCTATTGATACTGTAGTAGGAGATGAATAATGAAGTGTTGCTTCAAAAGACTCACTACTGATTGTTAAATCAACTGTCATACTAATAATAATAATAATAATGATAGATTTCATTACCATTGATTGTAGATAGTGTATTAGAAGGTGATGGTGTGTTAATGATTATAATCTCAACCAGTGAATGATAGTGTACAGCAGGTCCATATATTGATCCATTGTTGAGATAATAAACTGATACATTATACACTCCACTGGTTGATACTGATAGTATCCTATAGTAAGATCCAGTTATATTAAAGTGTTCATTCCTTCCATTACTAGTATCAGTAAGT